AACTGGTAGTGATTATTAATTACACATTATCACGCATACGGTCTATATTCATTTGTAAATACTTACTGAGCCTAAACTACGTGCTAGGCTCTGGTAACACAACAGTGAACAATCACAGAAGAAATAAGCATTAATCAAATAATCACATAGACTTTAAATTATAATGAATTACAATCAAAATCACGATGCTATGAAACAGTACAACATGGAATCCCAACCTACTCTGGACAATCAGGGATGCTTCTTTAACAAAGAGACCTTTTGCACTAAGATTTAAGGGAGAAAAGGAATGGGCAAAGAGCAGGAGGCATTCCAGGTAGCAAGAACAAATTGCATAAACTGCTGACGCAGGGGAAAAAATGTAATTAACCAGTCAAGCAACTAAAAACTCATTAAGGCAAGAGCCAAGTGACCAAGGAGGAAGTAGTTTTGATCTCATGATCCTCCTAGAAGGATCCTGGAGACCCCCACCCCTAGATAACACTGAGAACTGCTGCTTGAGTAACAAAAAGCCAAGTAATCACAATGAGATACCACTTCATAGCAACTAGGAAGGCTATAATCAAAGATGGACAATAACAAGTGTCACAGAGAATGGAGAGTAACTGGAATCCTCACGTACTGCTGGTGGGAATAAAAAATGGTAAAGATGTTTTGGAAAACAGTTTGGCAGTTCTTCAAAAAGTTAAATATAGACCTATCACATGACCCAGTAATTCCCCTCATAGGCATTCACTCAAGAAATATGAATACATATGTCCACACAAAAACTCGTATAAGTATCCACAGAGGCATTATTCATAATGGTCAAAAAGTAGAAACAACCCAAATGTCCCTCAACTGATAAATGAAGAAATAAAATGCGGTATATACCCATACAGTGGAGTATTATTTAGCAATAAAAAGGAAGTACTGATACACGCTACAACATGGATAAACCTTGAAAACATACTAAGTAAAAGAAATCAGTCACAAGTTTTCTAAATCTGGCATGTATTTCACCCTTACAGAACATCTGAAATCAGTGCAACCACATTTCAAGTGTTCAACAGTCAGATGTGAATGGAGGCACCGCGGTGGTCAGGAGTTCTAGATTCACACTCTAAAGTATAATTTCAAATGATGTTTGTGATAATGACACTAAGGCACAGCAATTTCCCTTATCAAGGAAAGGTTCAATTCTATTTAACACAGCACTTACATTATGTTTAAGTATGTTAATATTTTTCTAAAAGTTTCAAGCAACAAGACATTTTCTAAAATTAGAACATACACTGCCTGAATATTCCAGGTAACTGTATTTTTAAATCGTATACTACAGTCTAAGAGAGTTACAAAATCCCAGAACAAGCTAGTTAGAAGTTAGTATAGGGTAGTACCCTTCCAGTTTCTGCACTAATTTTAATCACACACAAAAAACATTCTTCTGGACTTCTTGTTGACACTGAGAAATCCTGTTTCCTGATAGCAAATCGTGAATAATTATTAGAAAACAATCTCATACATAGGGATCTTATGCCATTACCTATTTTTTAACCTATTTACTTATACTATGAAAATTCTTATTAATGAAACTGCCTTGGAACATATACAGTGAAGTTTACATTCTAACCACCCTTAGGTAGATATTTAAACATTACTCAATTGATTGAGTGCTCAATGAAAAATTTCATTTTAATTTCAAAAAAGTATAAGCTTTATTATCTTCAAACAAGTTAAAATTTATTAAATATCAATTGTATTAAAGTATCCTGTTTCTACCTGTTTATATACTCAGAAACTGAGGAGAAAACAGAAAAATTAATAACCACCTTACAACTTTTACAGCTGACCCAAGAGACTTAATATAATTTCATCCAATTAACTGTTAGAACATATTCATAAATATTACTTCAGTATAACATATTAGGAGAATTTACATTATATAGAAAACACTTAATGAAAGAGATTTTTAATTACAGAAAATGGGATTTGCCTGATAGAAAGCCTAAACCTTCAACATTATCCTTTTGTAGGTAACTCTTTACCTCTAAGATTAGATAAAAATTTTCAGGCCCAAATACCTTCCAATTTTTTACTAAACATTTTCCATGACATCATAATGTCCTTAAGTTTATTTTGATGTCAAATTTTAATCTGTAGCAAATAGTGTAAACCTGTAAAAATTCAGAGAAAAATTTTACATTATAAAATGATGTATCTTTTTTTGTGCTTCAAGTGGAATTTTACAAAACATGTGAAAACTGCTTTTCTTATTCTTGTACATTTTTCTGTATGTACATTCCTTAACAGAGCCCACAAGTAGTTCAACTTGTCTTCAGATTCTTGATGTAGTGATGAACTTCAATATTTATGTTTTCTGTTTGAACAGAAAGTATTTATCAAAATAAAAATTCGACTGCCATGTGAAAAAGTTGCTACAGAAAAAAGGATTTCATTTTATCTATTAAAATTTTATTTTGGTTACAGAGGAGTAAAACTAAAACTTCCATGGATCCTGAAATTAAAATTCACCATCACAAAAAGTTTAAAAATCTTCACAAATGTAACATCATAAACTGATGTAAAAGAACTTTATTTATAAAATACTGACTTTCTAATCTTTTACAGTAAAATGCTGAAAGCAGCCAGGATGGTGGAAACCAGAATTAGGGATTCTAAAATATCTAAGGGCTTCAAAAGTTAATATGACACACCCATTACAATAACTAAGATAAAAAAGACTGCTATTATCAAATGGTAGTAGGAATGTGGAGCAACAGGAACTCTCCTGCATTGTCAGTAGGATTATAAAATGGCACAAGTACATACTTCCTTAAGAAACTAAATCTACAGCTACCTATGACCCAGTCATTCCACTTCTAGTTATTTAACATGAGAGATAAAAGCATTTGTCTAAGAAGAAGATTTGTACAAGAGTGTTAATAGCAACTAACTGGACCCCTAGATGACCCTCAACAGGAAAATGGATAGATTATGATAGTATATTCATACAATGGAAGACAACACAGCAATGAAAAGGAACTACTTACAATGCACAGCAATAATGAATCTCAAAAACACTAAGCCAACTGAAAAAGCCTTACACAGAAGAGTACATATCATATAATACCATTTTTGTGAAATTTTAGAATAAGTAAAATGAGCTCATGGAGGAAAAAAAGTGAGTGTGAGTGACAGTGTGACTGAAATGACTAGGAAAGGGCAAGAGGGAACTTTCTAGTTGATTATAAAGTTTGACAACCCAAAAAGGCTTTGGATTACACAGGTGTGTACTTGTGAAAACTCATGGAATGGCAATCGTACGCATTTCACTGCATGTCAAATTTTCCTTAAAAAATTAAACTCAAGTTGATGATATGCACATTGCTGAAGTGCTTTTTAAGTGTAATGTACTAATATTTGCAACTTACTTAGAAATGCATCCAAAAAATAAAACTGACTGATAAATGATTAACTATGGGATAGAGCAAACACAGCAAGATGCCAAATATGGGTGGTCACGAGTGTTCACTGCATAATTATTTCAATTTTCCTGTATGCTGGAAAATATAAAAGGGTTAAGGAAAAATTTTACAGAATTGACAGACCAAAAAAAATGTTGATTCAATAGGTGGTCAAAGTTCCTCACCTGATGCTACACACTCTACTACTTGACAAAACACATCACCTTTTGATTTACATAAACCAATACCCCATTTATGGTTCCTAGAGAAACGTATATGTACATTTCAGGAATTCTTACTTCTTCATAAACTGTTCGTTGTCTGAGATCGTGAGAGATCAATTCAGTAATTATGGAAAAATATCCTGGAGCACATAACCAACAATTAACTAAAACAATCTGTTAAATTCTTCAAAATTCTCAATTAACTGTAAAATTTGCATTCCTGAAAAGATTTTAAGCGGTAAATCATCTGTTAATGTTCTCCATTAACTAATTTCGTTCTTTTAACCGACTGCAACCGCTAACACCTGAACAACGTAGCTATCCTTTTAAAATCAAACAAAAACCTCTCCAATGACTGGCGTCTAAAGGATGACAAATATACTTAAAAAAAAACAAAACCAGCAAGTTTTCAATGGAAATCATCCACCTTTCTCCTTAAGCCTAGTACTATTACTTAAAATTTGCTGAAAGCAATTTCTACGTCACAGTCGATTTCTTCTTTAAAGATGGGAAGGTGAGAAAGATTTCTAGCAGTCAAAACGCAGAACTAAATGTACACGTGCTCCTCACCCCACCAAATCTGCCTAAACCCGCAAGCAGGTGAAACAATGAGTACCTCCCCCCTCCTTTTTTTTAATTCATAAGACAAAACCGCAGACTAGACTAAGGCGAACCCTCGCCCAGCCCAGCCTCCACCCCGCCCTGAGCCAGGCGGCGGGTCGTTTTCCTTTGTGAGCAGTCGGAGGGAGGCGGCTGGGGGCGGGGAACTGGGGGAGGAGGCCGGGGGTCGGCGGACCCCGGAACAGGAGGAAGGCGCCGAGGGACGCAGTGTCGGCGCGTCCCACAAACAGGCCGCGCGGCCCCGCCACAAAGCTCTGTGGTGTCCCCAGGAGCAAACCCACGAACCTGGCTGTGATCTAATTGGGGATGAGACCCGGGAGAAAGGCCTACGGCACTGCCGGGGACGACCCCCTCCTCGCAGGTCCTTGCAGAGCCGTCTCCTCCCGCCGCGGGCAGAGGACCTGCCGCCATCCCCACCCCGCCCCGAACCCAGGGCGGCCCTCACCTGCTGGACGGAGCTATTCTCGGGCACTGCGAACTCTTCCTTCTCCTTCGGGGTCTTCACGGTGACTTTCATGATCTTAGGCTCCGCGGAGGCAGCGGCCGCAGGGGCGCCGGCACCTTCGGCCGCGGCGGCGCTGTCCTGGGAGCTCGGAGGGCCGCCGCTTTCAGCATTCTCGGCCATGGCGGCGGCGGCGGCGGTGACTCAGGCGCGCAGGAGGGAGCGGGCGAGCAAGGGGGAGCCAGGCGACGCCAGAGCCGGCCGGCCCGGGCAGTGAAGAATGTGGGGCACGCCGCCTCAGTGACAGCGAGCGCGGGGCCTCCCTAGCGGACGAGGGGCCGCGGAGATCCGCGTGGGCTGCGGCGCAGGCCCGCCTCGGGCGCCCGGCAGCCGCCGTGTGTTCAGACGCCGCTCGGTCGCAGCGACATCCGCAGCCGCCGCCGCCGCTTCCTCCTCCCCGCCCCTCCCCCCACGTCTCTCCGCCGGCGCCGCGCGGGGCACGCCGGGTAACGCAGCTGGCGACGACGCCGAGTCATTCCTGGCCGGCGCTTCTTCGAGCTGTGGCAGCTTCTCTTTCCCTCTCCCGCTCCATTGCTCAAAGTGTAGGCGCATTCAGAGTGAATGACTAAGAGCAAAGCGGGGCGGAAGAGGTCAGCTCGTTTCTTTTTATCAAAAAATAAATTTGTTGGTTCTGGGAGGCACTGTGAGGGCGCACGGAGATGACGTCACGGCTAGCGAAATTACTGGAAAGGAGGCTCGACCACTGGGCGCTGCGGTCGGAAGTGCGCTTGCGCGCTGGCGGGCCAGGTAGTTCCCCGCCCCCCCACCCTTTCACCTCACACCCCGCGGTGGCGGTGCGCTCCCCTCCCTCGCCACGGCCGCCGGGCCTGTGCGTGCTCCGCGCACCTCCCTGGGAGGTGGGTCTGGAACAAGTACCCCCCGATATTTAAATATGCTTAGACTCCCTGCTTGGAAGATTTTGAACGTTTGATCTTACTGTTCGGTGCGCGGAGTTGAAAGATAAATTAATGGAGGAAAAATCCTCATAACGAAAGGCGAATGGACTATACGCTAGTAGCCGCCCTGCTCAATTCCGCGGAGTCATTGCTCCACGGCCGGAGCTTCCCACCCTGGGGTTAGGCGGGTTTGATTAGGTGATGAGACCAGGTGTCGACAATGGTCCCCGCTCCCACGCCCAAAGCCCTGCGCGAGCACCCTCGAATTCTCTGTGGACACTGTCCCCCAACATGTTCGGGGCAGAAACAGGATGCCCAAGGCGTACCCACCCAACTGGGATAGTTTAATGCAGCTGTGGTGTTCATTGTCTATTTTTCTATCTAAGTAAGTTACGGCTCCATTTCAGATTTAGGTGGCATTAAAGGTAGGTATTCAAAATTATTTTTAATTGTAATATAGGTATAAGTAAGAAACAGGAAATTATTTTACCCCAGAGAATTATAAATTTAAAATGATCTCATCATTTGCCTTTAAAGGTGACTTGCAGGGAATGCACAGCACAAAACATAAACTTTATTAGCCGGACTTGCGCAAATGTAAGCTCTGACACTCCACTGTGACCCAAATATGCAAAGATACACTGTATTTCTGTTCTTAAACTGTCCACCTGTTCTGGCTATAAGTCCTTCTTGCATGAAGACCACTGTAGCAGAGCAACTTTGGGATCTGGGTCTAAGTATAAAAGCAAGTATAGACATCAACTGATATCAGCTAAGTTTTTGGCAGCATTGTTTAGTGGCATGAAGAAATTACACAAGGTTCTCTTCTGAAGGATGACTACTTATGTCTAGATGTGAGGTAATCATTATTTCTCAAAGTAGAAGTTTCCACCATTGGACAACCAATCATTTATCTTTAACCATGCACGTATGAAATTGCTCTGTAATTATCTGTGTCTACATTAATTTCTAAAAAATTCTGATGTCTGTGCACAGTTTATGAAGTAATATAATGTATCTGTGAGGAAATACAATATAGTTATTCATTATGGCCCTTTTAAGAAATAATTCTACCTTTTAAGAAACACCATTGGAGGTGTGGGTCTAGGTCGGGCATTGGCAAACTTTCAGGGAAAACCAGGTAGTATATATATTGATCTTTGTGGGCCATACATTCTCTGTCTCAAATACTCAGCTCTACCCTTGTAGCACAAAGCAGCCATAGACAATACACACACTGTCCCGGTAAAACTGCTTACAAAAGTAGGCGTAGTATCTCATTTTGGCCCACAGGGTCTAGACGTCTATTTGAGGCATTTTCTTTTGAGTGATTTTTATTAGGTGGTCAGTCTGAAAAAAAATTACAAGGGCATATTTCATCCATTCTGCGAACATTAATTAAGCATATCAATGTCCAAGTACTGTGTTGAGGATTCAAAGACAAATAAGATTCAGTCTCTGCCCTCATTAAACTTAGAGGCAAGTTGGATGGAAGGTACGAGGTAGGAGGGAGGGGGAGATAAGCAGTGCCATGCTGATAAATGTTTAATGAAAAATTCTCCAGAAAACAAGCTTTGATTTTTTTTTTTTAGCATTTGACAATTTCCTTAATGTAAATACTTGCAAAATGGCCAATCTCAAGCTAGCAACTTGAGGTCCTTGCTCACAAAATTCCTGAAATTTTACCATTCAGTTCTCACAAGCCAATAACTGGATAGATAGGTCCCTTTTTATAAGTTCCAGTATTCAAACTTCAAGTATAATAATAAGAGGTTATTATTCACATGGTAGAAGAATTCTTCCTTGACAAAATGAGTCAATCAGTTTAATCAATCAACAAGAATTTATTGAGCAAACTTTAATCCTGTGTCCAGGAACTTACGTAATAACACAAGGCCGTGCATGTATCATGTCAGGTAAGTGGTGTAAATAACATGCATTCGTCATTTTACTCCCCTACTCAAAATCCATCATAAGCTCCCAGTGCCTCAGAAATAAAGCCCACGCTTCTTAAATGCAAGGCCCTCTACAATTAATTCCCGGTCTGTCTTTCAAGCTTCACTCCCATTACTGTAGATACAGTTTGCTGCAGCCAAACATGTTTATTATCATTTCTAGAAGCACTTGTACATTATACTTTCCTCACCTAGGACCACTCCTTCAGGTCACTACACCTCTCCACATTGTGCCCATTATTGCTACTTCCTCTCTTTTAGAGAACACCCGAGCTTACAGAATCATTTTTTTCTGTGGCCGTTGTCATAATTATTTGCATACTTCACTTGTCAACTCATTACTTGTGACATACCTTTTATTATCTAAAGCTATTTCTCCTGCTTCCAGTCCAGTTCACACTAACTCTGACCTAGATTGCAACAATAACCTCCTACAGATTCTTCTGCCTCAGTCTAAAGTCACCATCCTCAAAGCCATTTTCTGTGGTGCTGACTGTTATCCTCCTAGAACTAAGCTTTGATCATGATACCCAGAAGGTTTTCATTAGCTCTCACTAAAGTTTTAGAATAACATCTAAACTTGCGGCATGGAGTCCAGGGCCTTCTGTGACCAGAAGACCTTGCTCCTCATTTATATCTTACCCTCAACCAAGTGAGTTTACTAAGCATTCCAAGCTTGTCTTGTGCTTTCCTGCCGGGGCTTCAACACAGCATTTTCACTGCAGGTAGAAATTCTTCCCTCTCATTTTGACTCCATTGTTTTACCCATCTTTCAAGACTCACCTGAAATGTGACTTTCCCTAATAATTTTTCCTGATAACATGTTTTTGATTAGACATAGTCTCTAAATACTCTATATTCCTGTATGACTTTATTACCTTTTTGGTGTCACTTGACACATTTTGCCTTGAATTACACTTAATTGCGTGCATAGATACTTTACTAGACAAGGACCTTGTAAACAGGGATCAAGTCTTAATCATCATATGTACCACGCCATACCTAAACTAATTTCTTGGCATGAGAGGATTTACTGTTAAAACGAATGGTTGAACTGTCATGTTTGCTACTAGAGAAGAAATTCATTTAGATCAGTAGATCATATTTTATATTCCTTTGTCTCTCCCAAGGTTTATAGTACAGTGACTGATTGATAGTACAGTGAGAGATACATTCATACATACATACATACATACATACATATGTACATACCCTGAAACTTAACTTGCTTTGCAGTAGCTTCAGAGGAAGAAAGTATTATTCACTCCCTGCTTGGTGCAAGGGAAGGAGGGAGAGTCAGAGAAGGATTTTAAAGGAAATTGCTTGAGCCAGACCTTAAGGAATGGATATGATTTGGTTAAGTGTGTTGAGGGGGCAACTTCAATGAGAAGAAAGATGCAGTGGCGAGAAATAGAAACTGCTAGGGCACTGATCTCAAACTGTGGTCCATAGCTTAGGAACAGTCCACAAGATATCTCTAGAACTACTTCCAAATCAAAGGGAATAGGGTAAAATGTTCAATAAGTTTCTGAGCCTTATTAGGGCTGGAGAAGAGGTGGTGGTATGGAGGGTTGTTTACTCTAATAATTTGCCGACTAAAACTTAAGACCGCTGGGTAGAATGCACAAATACATCTGCAGCCACCACAGGCTTTGAATACAAGCTGCTAAGTAGCACTACCACCCCACCACTATCATGACAATCAGAAATGTTCCTAGACCTCAGTTATTGCATTTTACCTACTCATCTCTGAGCAAGAGTCTGAATTTATTCAGGCTTTATGAAAATGCCTAAGAATATTCATAGGCTATTCTCTGTTGACCTCTCATAAAGAGGTAGTACTGGTTACCTGAGACATAGTCCCTAGGGCTGAATATCTGGACTATCTTAACAGAAGTGGTAAGACTGGTTCTCCTGGAAACATACAAATACAAGGATAAATATTTTTATAATTAGACTCCAGCTTGGTTTTATTCTATGTAAAACTCCCAGCCTTATGATTTCTTTTCAAGGACAAATTTATTGAAAACACACGTATTTGAAATGTGTTTCCTAACCTTAGAAGGTTACCCTCTGTGAAGAGTCTGCCATCATGTTGTGTAAACTAAGCAGATGAGCCATGGGGAAATTTTAGGTGCTCTCTGAGGGCAGAGAGAAATAAGTTAAAGGGTACAAAATCTATTATATGAAGTTATGTAGAAATTCCAAAGAATAACAGTGGTTCCGGAAAAAAATGCTTCTGATTGTTTGTTTTGTAGCACTCAAGAAGGCAGCCTATTGAGATATTTTACATAGGATGCTGAGAAGTGTTTTTAAAGTCATTCAATCCTTCCATTTCATCCAAATAATTCTTACAACCTTGGTTACCAAATGTGTTGAAAGGTGAAGACAGAACTACATTGTAGCTTATCTGAGTTGTTCTGTAATGTATCAAGAATTGTGAAGTGTCTGAGATTTTTCCCTACTTACAAACTAACAGTTTCTTGGAATGCTGACAAAAGACACACGACTCTTAGGTTAGAAACAAAGGACTTTGTTACAGCAGTAACAGTGGCCAGTGTATCAGCTTTTCCTTGCATCAGTGCCCCAATCCCTAACTTCTGCAGAGTGATGCAAAAAGGGCCAGGTGAACCTGCACACGCAGTGGGTTGCGTTATAAGAGAGGAACCTTAGGCGTGGGGAACCCAGATCCTTTCAATGGGCAGTAAGCTTGCAGCCCTTTGCTCTGGAGGGAGATATTGTATTCCCCAAAACTGTTCACTATACAAGTATCCTTGAAAAAAATAATCCAGAACAAAGGCAGTGTATTCGTTTCCTATTGCTGCTGTAACAAATAACCACAGATGTAGTGGCTTAATTCAACACAGATTTTTCTTACAATTCTGGAGATCAGAAGTCCAAAAAGGATCTTAAAGGGCTAAAAATCAAGGACTGTGTTCCTTCTGGAGACTCTAGGGAAGAATTTCTTGCTTTTTCCAGCTTCTAGAGACTGCCTACATTCCTTGGCTTGTGGCCAGATCGCTTGAACCTCTGCTTCCATTGTCAGTTTCTTCTCACTTTCCTGCCACTCTCTTTTCCTTATAAAGACCCTTATAAGGATGATGTTGGGTCCCCCTCCCAGATAATCCAGGATAATCTCCCCATCTCAGGATCCTTAATCACATCTGCAGAGTCCCTCTGGCATATGAAGTGACAGATTCACAGGTTCTGGGGATTATGATATGAACATCATTGGGGAGCCATTATTCTGCCCACCAGAGACTGTCAGTGCCTGTTTTTACAGATGTGCAGAATTGTGAGAGAACGATAAAGAATTTTCTCCCCAAAATATCCACTCCTTGTTTCTACACTTTCTTGACTTCTGGCAAACTTTCCCATGAGTATGCCACTCTGTTTGTCATTCTGATTAATTTGACCACAAAAGGCTGAGACTGAATCCATTCCATTTGTTTCATATAACATTTAGTAAGGTTCCTATTGGTAGAATTCCAAATAGCAGGATGAGGCCAACCTGTAGTATTAATAACCATGCTTGCCAGGGGTTCAAACCCAATCAGCTGAACAAACCCCATACACTGTCAGAGTCTACTTTGGCTGCTTCCTACGTATTGTTCCTGTATTGACTTTTCCCCTTGGTCCAAGGCATTAATCTAGTTACAGCTGGTTGTCTTTTTTTTTTTTTCAATCACAAAAGTCATTTATTCCAAAGCATTCAATAGAGAAGTGTTTGCTAAAATGTGGCATGGGAGATGGTTTTAGGATATATCCCAAAGGAACGCTTTTGTAACAGTTGTAATTTTATTTGAAGAATATTGGTTTCTTATTTATGGAAATGATATACTTAAATTTAAGTTTAAAGTCAGATTGATTTCACTATGTTGTACACCTGAAACTTATGTAATGTTGTACATGAACTATACCTCAAAAAACGTCAAGTGGATTTAAAAACACATTTTAAAAATTTAATTTTAATTTTTTATTTTTTAGTTGAAGTATAGTCAGTTTACAGTGTGTCAATTTCTGGTGTACAACATCATGTTTCAGTCATATATATATATATATAAATATTCTTTTTCATAAATAGGTTACTATAAGATATTGAATATAGCTCCCCATGCTATACAGTATAAAATTGTTGTTTATCTATTTTGTATATAGTGGTTAGTATCTGCAAATCCTGAATTCCCAGTTTATCCCTCTCCACCCCCTTCCTCCCTTGGTAGCTATACATTTGTTTTCTATGTCTCTGAGTCTGTTTCTG